TCCTTTGTATGAAAAATTAATTCTTTAATTTAGCTTTTCTTGTTCTTAAATTTTATTAAAAATATTCCTAGTGTCTAATTTGTTTTTTGTGGGACATCACATATTTTAGTTTTAAGCCAATTGTGTGTAGCTACAGTTCACTCATTCTCTTTGCTATATGGTATTCCATTGTGAAAAATTGAAAACAATTTATTTACTCATTCTCTTGGTGGACAGATATTGGAATGGTTTCTAGTACTGACAATTATGTATCATATAGCATACTGCTCTGTGCTTGCATTTTACAATCTATGTACTATGGAGATATTTTCTTTTTCATCCTTGCACAGGAGCCATGCTAAACTTCTCTGTATCATTCCAATTTTAGTGTATGTGCTGCCGAAGCGAGCACAAGTGGAGATATTTTCATATTTGTATATGCATGTTGTATATGACAGCATGATAAATATGTATGTATGTTATATAATTCTACTGTCACATATAACTGTGACACATATTATTATATACATTATATATGTGCATTAATAACATATTTTCTCTTTGAACACAAACATATTTCTGTTAATATTCTGTGTAGAATATTTTTAACCTTAATATTTTTAACCTTTACTAAAAGACATTTACAGTGTGCTTCATCTTTTGGCCCTACAGGCCATCTAGCCTGCCCTGAAGAGAGGTGGAGATGAAGGTCTCAGGCCCTTGGAAAAACGCCCAAGCGAGAAGAGCAACCCTCATTGTGCCAAATTACTACAAAATATTTTTCTACATTTATCTTTGCATACACATACTAGAAAATAAACATCCAGTAATGGAAGTTCTGGGTCAAATAAATTGTGCCTTCACTTCTTAAATAATTATTGTTACTTTTATCCAAAGGAAACATGACCTAAGACTATTTTGTGCCAATTTATCATAGTCCACTAATTTGAATGCACTTATTATTTTAATAAATGGTTTGAATGCTTACTACATGCAGTTTGCCCAGTAAGAATGTATTAAAGGTGTTCATGGGATGAGGGTTTTGACAGAACACCCTATTCTGGTAGTTGGATGTTAACCGTATTAAATTAATAAACTTGGAGATTATCAACTCAAGTCAAGTATGAGCCATTTTTTCTTCCTGAAGGCTTAAAATTAGTAAAACTAGAGAAAAATGCCAATTACCAGCCATCAGACTGCAGATAAATGGAGTCTTTCCTTCTTTGTGGTGGTGATGGTTTAAAACTAATGAGAAGAGGCAAGGAGATCATTATTTCAAAAGTTCTAGAGATGTTTGCTCTTACTATTTCTCTTTAATCATATCTTTTGACACTTATGTCTAAGAATATACATTGGCCAAAAAAAAAGCACTTGGACTTCCCGCCGAACCACACAAATTGGACTTTGTCCAGAACCAATTTTGAAATAGCTGGAGCTTGTCTTCAGAGTCTCTCCTTTTCCACGTAAGGGCCTCCTTAGCAGGGTTTCTCGATATTTTTAACTTCAGATTTCTAGGGAAACGTGCTCACTTAAGTGCCTCCCTTCTTACACTAAGAAGTGTTTCTATCACCTGGTCCATTCAAACATGGAAACTGATCAGATAAACTGATCTGAGATATAGCACTAATTCCTGATTATAAATTCTTGAACTATATCTCCCAAAGGTTAGCCCTCAGAATATTGCCTCATATATTACTCTGAATTGGGTGCCCTAAAGGCTAGTATGTCATCTTTAATATTATCTACATTTGGAAAGGAGATCCTGTGAAAACTAATAAATATGACTAATAGTCAAAATATGTCTTAAATAAACTCACAAGAACAATAAGTAATGGTAAACAGTAGCTGAGAAAAGAAGAGACCACTTGCAAAATTTTTTTGTTTTGTCTTTTTTTGATTCTTAGAGTGATTGCTTTCAACCTTCTCCCATTCATTGTGATGTTGACAGCGTTGCTTATATATATATATATTATTTCAAGGTCTATTCCATCTGTGTCTAGTTTGTTAAGGGTTTTTTGTCATGAAGTGATGTTGAATTTTACCAAATATTTTTTCTACATCTATCAAAATGATCATGTTTTCTTCTTAATTTAGTTTATGTAAAGAATCACAGATTTACATAGGCTGAACCATCACTGCATCCCTGAAATCAAACCCACTTTTTTATGATGTATTGTCTTGTTCGTATGCTGCTGGAATTATTTGCTGGTATTACATATTTCGTTGGGGACAATATCAGGGATACTAGCCTGTAATTTTGTTTTGCTCTGTATCCTTGTCTGGCTTTGGTATCAGGGTGATACTGGCTTTGTAAAATAGTTAGATATAATTCCACCCTCCTCAATTTGTCAGGGCAGTTTCAGGAAGATTGGTACCAGTTCTCTGAATATTAACTGTGAATTCATCTGGTCCTGCCCTGAATTTTTCTATTTGAATTGGGAAATTTTTTTATTGCTGATTTAATCTCACTACTAGTTTTTGGTCTGTTCAGGATTTCTATTTCCAATACCTTTGTATTGGGGTTCAGATTTCTCTTGCATCTCTTTGTGTTTTTTATCTGAATACTTTTCTGGCATTTTGGAAATTTCTTGTTGATTAGAATTCACTGCGGAAAATTACTGTATTCCTTTGAGGGTATCATAACACTATATTTTTTTCTTTTTTTAAATTTCAGATCAATATGAAGGTACCAATTATTAGGTTACATTGTTTGCATTTTATACGTACAGTTCAAATTGTAATTGGGCCTTTAACCCAAGGGTGTTCTAAATACCCTTACTTTTTTCCCATTAAGTGACAGATTCCCACACCCCACTTTCTTCCCCTCTTTCCTCTCCTGCCTGCTCACTCTGTCCTATTTGAATTGAATTGTGTTTTTCTTAAATGTGGCTATGTAGTTGTTTTATTTGTTAGTTTCGTATTAGTATTGTATACATTGAATACTTGCTTTTCCATTCTTGTGATACTTTACTAAAATAAAGTTCTTCAACTCCATACAGGTTATACAAAAGATATAAAGTCTCCATCTTTTTTATGGCTTAATGGAATTTAATGGCATACATACACCACCATTTATTAATCCAGTCATGAGTTTATGGGCACTTGGATTGATTCTTTACCTTGGCGATTGTGAATTGAGCTGTGATTAACATTCTAGTGCAAATGTCCTTGTGGTAAAATGATTTTTTTTCTTGTAGGTAGATAGTGATGGGATCCTGGGATCAAATGAAAGGTTTATTTTAGCTCTTTGGGATTCTCTTTTTTATATATATATTTCTAGTTTTATTACATTGAATTCTTCATATCTGGGGAAACAGTTGCTTCTTATTGTTGAATTTATATTCATTGGGGTAGAACTGTTTTTCTTGAGGAGGTTGCTGTGGTGAGTGTTGAGCCAGGACAGCTGTTTGGCTTTTCGCCTGCCTGTGTTCACAGGTGAAGTCTCAGTGTGAGTCCCTTGTTATTAATAGTCTCCATGTCGTGGCTTTGTCAAATGCCAGCTGTGCTAGCATGCATGGGCATGTGAGCCAGCTGAGTGCCTCCGGGTTAGCCAGGGCAGCACGGGTGATGGTGGCAGCAGAGTTTGCAAGAAGCTTGTCTCCTTTCCGAGTGTCCTGCACTTGCGTAAGCACAAGTTGCAATGGGCTTTGCGGGTCGACCTGGTCTAAAGGAGCTCCGACCTTCCCTGAGGGATAGCAGGACGAAGTTGTCAGGCCCCTACAGGGGAATACTTCAGAGGGGAAAGGTGAACAACAGTCACTGTGCCAAAGTCCCAGCCCTAGAAAAGGGCAGTTCTAGCTCCACACCCAAGGGAGCAGGGGTGGACCCACTTTGCTCTCAGGCTCCAAACCTGGCTGAGCTTCCTCCGCTCCCACAGCCCAACCAGGACTCTTCGCAGGGAGTGGGAACAGTCAGGACAGACCCCTTCCTTGCCTCTCTCACAAATCTCCTCCCTCTTCTGTCCTGTGAATGACAGTTCCCGTGAGGAGCCCCGACTCCCTGGCACACTCACCGCTCACTTGCGGCGGTGAGGACGCTCCCCAGCACCAGACCAGATGGCGGCTCCCAGGCCCACAGCTGCCCTCGCCGGCCGCCGGTGTCTTCTGCCGCCCCAGGGGCTGGGAGCGGGTACGGGGCGCTCACCACCGCTGATTCTTCTCAGTCTCCTGGCTGCTCCCCAAGTTAGACCAGGGTTGGGAGTGGAGAGGGGCTCTCCTGTGGTCCAGATTGCACGGTCGCCCAGTGGGAGGACTGGCACAGAGGGACAGGCACTCCCTGTCTCCTCCGATTTGGAGTTTCACTCCCAGTTTTCCGCCCATCTAGCCCCCAAGTCGGCCTGCCCCCCTCTCCTCCTCAGGATCTGGTGTCCTTCACTTTTCTGTTGAATTTCCATGTTTATTCATGGATAAAACTTCACAGTGTGCATTTCTATACACTATTTTGCTTCTTCCAACGCGTGAGGCACAGCAGAAAAGACTCGACTCTGCCTATTTTCGTCGCGTGTCCCGGTGTCCTGAAGCTGTTAAGCATTACTCCCGATCAATACTGAGAAGAATGAAGCTTTGGTCTCCACCCAGAAAATACATTTTTGACACATATTTTCTGTACCTCCTAATGTATTACCAATATACCTTGTGCCTGAATAAACATTTTTGTTTATTTAGAATAAAGTTAAAACTTTCCTGGAAATACTCATCAGAAAGGAGTCACCATTGAGCTTTAGGATATAATTGTCTTTTCCACTTTTTCATTTGTTTTCAAATTAATAATAAAATGAACAAATATAAATACTTTTATTTTTAAAAAAGCTTGAGACTGATTATGACAATAAGCATAAAAATGAAAAGAAGCCATACAGGAGTATAATGTATGGTGAATTAGTACAACTATTACTAATAAGGTATTTTAAATTGAACTAAACAAATAAAACCCAAAAAATACTTTTTAAAAAACTGGTTGACCAAGAAGACACATCAACACCAGTTAGTTAAATGTAGTATCGGTGATGTGTTTTCTTTTCCCAAAGTACTGGAAATTGTTTCCCTGAAAATTGCTAGGATTAAGCATAATAGCACAGTTTTATTGGGAGAGATATTAATAAATTAACCCTAATCCCTATTCTTAAATTTCATGTGAATTTACTAGCATATGGTTCACTATTTAGACCTACATATCTCCATTAGGATAATATTGGTCCGAAAGGTTTTATTTGTAAGCAGACTAATGCTCGTAAGAAAGTAATGAGCAGGTCTAAGGGTGGCTGCTAATGGATAAGTCACTGTCCGTGAGTGAAAATGACATTATTATGATTTACATAATATTCCTGATTCTGCTCAGTCTGAGTACCAGTGATTGGTAAGTAATACTCTGATGGCTTTACACCTGGGTTTAACCCCATGAGCTGCCTGCACG